CAAACGTCACGCGTCAGTTTCGGAATTTGTGTTGAGATTTCGAAAGTGTTGATTGATTTAACTGGTGAATAACTGGTGTAGTTTATAGTGCAATATGTCGAATGCTGATAATCTACCTTGTACCTCTCCAGAAAATGTAAAGTAAAGTAAAAAGTAAAAACGCCTAGGCGTAAAAACAGTGTTTTTACTCCATGTCTGAAAAGTAAAACTTTTACCTGTGTCATTTAGTCATAAAAGTGGTCACTTTTGTGACGTTTGCAGATAAAATATATTTTGTTGAAGAATTAAAGCGGCTTTTTTACAACACTCTATGTATCACTAGAAGTTGCAATGGATGTTAGCTTGTTTATAAACAAAGAAATGTTATTAGTCGCCAATAAGTTGATTTACAATTTATTTTGCATTTTTTTCATTACTTAGTACTTAGAAAACTGTTTCATTAGTGACACTGGTTGAATAGTAACTCAGTTTAAATCCTTTTAGTTGAAGATGCAAAATTTTGTCTATAAGTCGAAAACAAAAGACGATAGCGGGATGCGGTTTTAACCAATATTAATTTTTTTTTAAATGAGCCCCAGAATGTATTACTCGTTTTTGGCTAAACCTCTTAGTTTCGGAGATTCCCTATTCGGACATCCAAAATGCAGCACCCTGAACAAATCAATGTTTTTTGAACGATAGGAATGGATGATTGAGGGTTTCATCTTGGGCGTTTTACAAATAACACGTTCAATGGAGAGAAAAGCCTCGCCATAAATCTCTCCTTATGATTAATTCCAATAGGGAAATAAGAAAATGGTGTAACGTACAGGTTTCTCTGTTGGTCGGTGAGATGACGGCGCACTTGCACACTACAATTTGTCTCTGGAATTTATAATGCCTCCACTTAGACGTTTTGTTGCTTTGTAAACGATAAATCGCGACTAGGTGCACACGACGCTCGATTATTTCCGTTTTGTAAGGAGAAAAAAGGACGATGCAGGTCTCTCGGGACATCTCGCGGACACTCCATTTATCAATACGGCGACGGGCGTGGAGAATAAATTAACATTGTCTTTGGGATCGAAACGAGCATCATGTGATTTATCATCAAGCGCCGGGAGAGAAAATTTAATATCCGCGTTTTACGGCATGTCGATGCATCTCGCGAAAGACACTTCCGAGCTGATTTATGGGAAAAAGGCGACGCGAGCAACAGGTGGAGAGGATCCGAGGCCCGTTTTTGGTTTGGGATAGGAGGAAAACCGAAGAGAACCAGTTTTGACACGGAAAAAAATGAATAATGGACGATAATGAAGCTTGAAATTGAAGCGTTAGATAATTAATTAGAAAAAGGAAAAGAAAGAGTTTCAGTCGGTCTCACACTACGTGCAAAATTTTTGCGATTTATAGCAAATTATCTTATCCAGCAGGAGGTAACCGATGTTCGCATTTGATTAATATGAAAGTTTCTAAAAAAAAAAAAAAACTAACCGCATTTTTCTTAAATGATAAACTTCTAAAACGCTGTTAAAAAAGTGACGTTTTTAAAACTCGTATATTTCAAAATAGAGAAGAAACTTTAAAATTTTAAAATCAGATAGTGTGGGATCTAGATGAGCGCGAGCGGCAAAGCCGCAAACCCCCTATAAGTTTCGACAAAATCTGATAGTGAGGCTAGAATTTTGACAAAACATTTGCGAATCAAGCCCCTGAGTATAGAAGATCTACGCGGGGGCATCGCCTCCGATAATTTAGACAAAACATTTGCGACTCAGATAATGTGATGAGGTCTAAAAGGAGACGAGCAGCAAAGCTGTGAGCCCCCTATAAATTTTGACAAAATCTAATAGTGTAAGTTCTACTAGGGGGCAAATCCTCCGATAATTTCTACACAATATTTTCGAATCCGACAGGATTTGATATAAGTTTCTAGTTTCTGTTACTAAAGAACGTAAAAAAATAGCACATATAGTAGACAGTAACTGAAATTTGATACATACAGGGTGAAAAAGTCCATCCACCTTTAAACAATGAAATTAAAAAAAAATGTATAGGACATTGATAGATACTAAGCTAGTGTATCACTTAAAATTATTTTTAACCATACAGCATGTCCCAGCAATAAGTTACGATACAAACTTGTGTTTTTTTTTAAATAAAACACCGTATGTTTCTTTGCATTTTTGGATGTAACCTTTTAAATCAATGTTTTTACGCTAAACTTTTATTAGTCGATTTTGCTTAGTTTTGGAAATAAGACGTTTTTTTTTGACGAAAACATGCACTTTTTAGAAATGTATTACACAAAAACTAAGACAGCTACAATAAATTTTTTCTTACTTCTGCAAAGAAGAAAGTACAGTATTTATAGCTGTAGCAATTTTTTAGTGTTTTGCATTTATAACGATTAATAAATTAAGAAATTTGTTAAAAGTTAAATAACTTAAAAAATTTAAATGGAACACCCTATTTTTTTATTTTTGCATCAAATAGATTGATAAATTGTCTATCTAAACAAATAAACTTTTAATGCCTAGAATTGATAAATGAAAAGATATTTAACATTCAATATTAATTATAGCAACAATTCCACCACAAATCACTTATTCGTTGATTTATCCACAGATTGTAAAAGTCGTTACAAATACTGAAATTCGAATTATTTTGTTGTAAAAAGTAAGATTAATGGATTCAGTTTAACACAAGTGTGATTATTAAGTGATATTTCTTCTATCTCTTGTGCACTTTTTGGCTACCGAAACAATAGTAATTATTTTTTTTTAATGTTTAAAGTTAAATATCTTTTTAGTTATTGATTATAAACACCTAAAAGTAAATAATTTTAGACAATTTAATAATCTTTTAAATGCAAAAACAATAAATAGGGTGTTCCATTTAAATTTTTTAAGTTATTGAACTTTTAACAAACGCCTTCATTTTTTTATCTTTGCAAATGCAACACACTAAAAAAAATGTTACAACCTTAAAGCTTGTACCTTCTTCTTTGCGGTAGTAAAAAATATTTCTAGATGTCTTAGTTTTTGTGTAATAAATTTTTAAAAAGTGCATGTTTTCCTCAAAAAAAAATAATAAAACACTGTCATAAAAATCTACATCCAAAAAACATATGATGTTTCATTTAAAAAAACACAAGTTTGTATTGTAACTTATTTTTGAGACATGTCAATGTCTTACATATTTTTTTAAAAGTTTATCATTTAAAGATCACTAGACTTTTTCAACTCGCTGGGACACCCAGTATGTATCAAGTATTTTTAATTTGCAGATGACAGAAAGAAACAACCTAGAACCTGGAGTAGTTCCTTGAGTAACCCCAAAAAATCACAAGGGTTTTGTAAAAATTCAAAAATAGGAGCAGATGAATTTGTTTTAATGGAAACTCCAACAAGAAAATTCAAAAAGCAAAAATGAAGTTTGAAAAAAATGTAATGCAAGAGTGAACAGTAAAGGACCACATCAGATCCTTGCAGAAAGCAACCCAATGAAAGCAAATTCTCGAACACCTTTGTATTCCTCTGACGAGCCTTAAATCACACAACCTGCAGCTATTTGGCCTGCAATCTACCAAAGCTAACAGTAGATAATAATCGGTCATAAATCTCTTGATCCTGTTATACCATTCTACTGAATTAGATCTTGTCAATTTCTAAAGTAGGCATCCTAAATCAAGTTTTCCGTCCCGACGCCAGTGACGCCACAGCTTGTTTTTCTTTTCATCTATGACAATTAATTGGTAGTCGACAGGAAACACGCTAAGATTAAAGCATTACATCAGCGTGCGAATTAAGCAAGTGTGTAAATTATACGAATTAACACATTCGCAGCCAAGAAGTCTATTGACACATCTTGTGGCAGATGCATCCAGACGAAATTTCGATTTTTTTCGTCCCTTGGGCCGTAAAGTTGGGATTTACGATGCGAGCAGGTAAAATCGTTAACGATTCCGTGTCGACGCATCGCGACATTGCTAATTTACGAGTAGCGTTTGCGAAAAAATCGCGGTGTTATCCCTGGACGGTCTTATATATTATCACTAAGTGCGGGTAATTGTGGCAAGGGAGTTTTATGGTAGATGGGTTCTATTACGACGTGGGTGGGAGGAATTCATAGGCGCACACACCGTGTGTGTATGTTTTATAAGCGGCGATTTATTTATGGACGTCCATAATGTTTTTCTAAAGGGACACTTGTTGCCTCGTGCATTGTTACTGCAATTATTAATGACGTAGAAGCGAAACGACTGATTTACGAACGTTGTAAAATCGAACTACAACCCATTCGATCGGCCAAATTGAGAAAAAACCGGTCGGGGGTAATAGGATCGGGGGCCGAATGGCTCCACAAGATCATAATGAGATAATAACTGTAATAAGCGGTTTTTATGACATATCTCCACTCTGATTCTTTGCATATGCTGCTTTAACCACGACCGTTTTTTGCTCTCGTTTCCACAGAGTGCAACGATTTTAATCAATTAGTTACCATTACGGTAATGATTCAATTTCAAGGCCCATTAGTTAGACTTCTTGCTGCTGGACTAGATGCAATCATTTTCCCATCTGTTCTTAATTTACCAGCAATGGGACGGAAAAAATCTGCCCACCCAAGAGAAACAAGACAGGATTCCCATCACATCGATAACATACATTATTTTTTGCAAAAACTGCAATTCCTATTTACTAGAATAAATAAGAGAAATCTCAGAATTTTCAATAAACCTTAAGTAAAAGTGAAAACAAGAGATTGTCAGGAATTCAAAAAAATGCAATTCACGTTACAAATACAAAATGTTAAAAATACTAAGAATAAACTTTGTCTTTTTAAGTAAAATCAAAAAACATCCAGTGTTGCTAAAACAAATCTAAAAAAAAAAGTTACGGGTTCTCAAAATTCTTCTAATTGAAAAAAGATACGAATTTGTATGTACAGGACGTTTTTTCTATACAGGCTGTTCCGGCTAAACCCCACATTAGAAGTATTGGGAGTTCTAAGAGTGATATTTATCTAAAATTTTGTTTATAGCCATAATCGGTTAGGTTCTGCTCAATGAAAATATTTTCAAGATAGCGGCACTTCCTGTTACACCGGAAGTGGATATCAACTTCGTTATTTGAAATAGAAAAGTATGTTTTTTATTGCGTTTTTGCATTACTTAAGTCATTTCGAAAGAGTTTTCATTGGCCTTCCATATTCTTAAGCTTAACCGTTTTCAAAATATTTAGACCGTTTTAAAAAAAATTGAATTTGAATCTTCCTATTCAAAAATCAATAACTCTACCATTTTTTATTGTGTTGAAACCGTATTTGGGTATACGAGAGAAAAAGGTTAGATCTTTCCTTTGGCGTATTCATAATTGAAAAATAATTAACAAACCGCCGAAATGTAAGGTTACGTTTAGGAAATTTCAAATACCCAAATTTTCAAATTTTTCTAAATGAAACACCCCAATTTTTTCTTCACTAAATGGAGGAGAATTTAGTACTGCTTTAATCTGTATTAACATTCCCTATAGGTACCTATATTTGATAGTTTTCAATTTATAGTAACTTCTTTTGATATCGTTAGAAATTCATTAGCCATAGCTAGTTTAGTATAGGCTATCATAGAAATAAGCAAAAAATATCAAAGTTATTCAAATTTAGATTAAATAAATTTAATTTTTATTTAGGAAAAGAATAACAGAATTGTAAAAAAATGGCGATATTTCAGTGAGAAATATTTCCATGGCAAACTATGCGAAAACTACCATGGATAGTAAGAAATTTCTTCCATTGCAAAAAAAAAAGTCAAAGTAACTTAGAAATCATTAAATTTAGGTATAGAGAATGTTAGTTCAGATCGAAGCAGAATTAAATTCTCTTTCATTTAGTGAAGAAAAAATAAGAGATTTCCATTTGAAAAAATTCAGTTACGGATATTTGAAGTTTCCCAAACGTAACCTTAAATTTTGTAAGTTTGTTAATTACTTTTCCAATTATAAATACCTACACCAAAGAAAAAATCTAACCTCTTGTTTCATATGGCCAAATACGATTTCAAAATTAAAATTAAAAATGGTAGACTTATCGAGGAGGAAGATGCAAATTAAAAATAATTCAAAAAAGTTTAAATATTTCAAAAACGGTTAAATTTAGGTATAGGAAAGTCTGATAAAAACTCTCTCAAAATCACTTGAGTAATCCAAAAACGCAAACATAAACATAACTTTCTATTGAAAATAACAAAGTTGATACCCATTTTCGTTGTAACCGGAAGTGCTTGACAATATTTTTATTGAGCAGGATCTGAACAATTGTGGATATAGTCTATATTTTAGATAAATATCACTGTTAGAACTCCCAATACTTCTAATCACCTGTAAAGGTTGATAAAGCTTATCGATTTCAAAATTTATTGCAAACATTTTTCTTCAACTTCCATAAAAAACAACTAACTATAAAAAACATAATTTTTAAATAAAACACATTTGTAGAGACTGCACAATTGTTGAAAAAAAATAAAGAGCTTTTGTGGTCTCCCGATTTCATTGTCATCGAAAACATATAAGTACACCAAAAATTTTATAAACTCATGAATAAACGTTTTCGTACGAAAATCAGCGTTGTAAGATAATTTTTACTACATGGTGCTAGACCCAGAAAACCAGAATTGGATGTGGTACTATTTTGGAACCAAGAATCTCGTTTCCTATAACAAATTTGGGTTATTTACCGAAATCTATAACCAAACGCAATCAACGTCACTGATAAGCCTAATGTTTCCAATCATTCCGAAAGTGGAATAGGGCGATTTCCGTGACCGCCCGGAGCCGCCCCTTTCGAAAAAAATTAATTACCTCTAACTGTAAAACAATGAGAGAAGGCTGGATCCCAGGACGGCTCATCATCGTCCGTCCAAGAATACTAATTTCTCACATGTCCATTTAAAACGAGGCTATCAAATTTCTAGCGCTTTACAAATGACGGTTATATTTTAATTCCGTCAAATTGATGTGGTCGGAGTGAATATTAACCTCAACCTCTCGGCACACCGGACTTGGGCGTACCGATGATTTAGTGTTGGATTTCGGAACGACGACGTTATTTGACACAAGTAATCCATCAAAAAATGGTGGAAAAATTCTGCGTATGGAAGATGATTGATGTCCTAATCTTACCTTGGACAAAATCGGGGAAAAAGAAGGACGCTCACTTGCCACTTGCAACACTGAACTGTGATAATTATGAGCAAAGACAGATTGACCAATAAAAATCGTCAAGACGATACTCTTATCAATCCATAAATATGTTTTCGAATGATAGTGGAGTATTTTTAATTATGTTAAACGAGAAACAATCGTTCTATTCAATGTTGATTTGAATAAAGACATTCTTCGGCTTGTTTTGATTGACAGAGGAGGAAAATCGAAATTGCTTCAAGTTTCACTCTAATGATCGGTTTCTTTTATTAATGACTCAATTCGAAATAACTTAGTCATTACTCTGATAAACTAAATTTTGCGCAATGAATCACATCGTCGAGAAGGAAAAAAGAGAAAGTCCAAATTGGTTCAATAGGATTCAGCTCGGGCCGTTTCAATTGCATCCAATTGATTTTTCCTATTGTGTTGGTGAATCAGTGGCGCCGCAACTACTAAATATGCAACTATTTTCCACTCACCTTCAACGTTCGGCCGAATAGCTAACCATGGATCCTGCAACAATAAAAATCATTACACAACAGGCAAAAAGTGTTTTTATTGCTGGAAAAGATTGCGGATAAGAGTTCGTGATGTTGTCTATCTGAATCGCGATAAACACGACCGATAAATCTAATTTTGATTGTTTCGTGCCGTTGGAAAGTTTGTTTTAATTTAGTGGTCCAATACGATCACAATATTATGGTTATGGGCGAGCCATGGGGTGAAAAATTCAGGTCGCCCACGAGAACACTCGATAATTTATCAACGATTTGTAGAGGAGACAGTAATTATGACTAGAACATGAACGAGAGTTGCTTGCACAGTTGGCAGTACTGTATCGAGCGAGAGCAAAATTCTTGCCCAATTTATCAAACATCTAGTTCCGTGTGTTGAAAAATCTCCGAAATGTTTTGCATTTTAAATCAAAATTCCGTAAATGTTTACCATGTAATTTGTAAAACATGCCACGAGTGACTAAAACTAATAACTCAGTCTTGTCCAATTACCCGCCACCGTTTTTTGCTAATTTTTGAAATAGCATCCACTTAATGTGCAACTATGATCTACGACGATACGTCGTAACTGATTTATCATCGATGGGTAATCGACGGTCAAAAACCCACTACAAGGTTAGAGAAAAATTTTGCAAAAATCGGTAGCGAAAGGATAACAAGACGATTCAACACCGCACACTGGTTTTATTGAGCTCTATTGTCCGGAGACTGACACTGATGGTAGTTTCGTGTCTACCCATTTTACCTCCGTTATGTTATGGAAATAATAAATTGTACTGTCCCAGAGCACTATTATTCTTCTATTATACCATAACAATGCACAGTTGATACAGATCGTGGCCTAGGTAATGATACTTTTTAGTAGGACTCTCGTGGTCAAAAATAAGTACCATTACTGTCGCCAGCGATTGGAAGCACCCAAAAACCCATTCCTGGTACTCCGTTATTTCAGCGGCCACCTCATATATCAAACTTGTGCTACCGATGTAGGCAATAAACCAACTGTAAATTTCCCCATAAGACCTTACTTAATTTAAGTTAGTTTCAGTAACAACGTTTTCCATATTTTATTGCTCTTAGAATTAATCAGATAGGCCTATTAACGTCTCGAGGCCATAAATCTGATATTCTACAAAACTTTAAAATTATTTCAGACCGAAAAAAAATCTCGTTTTCCCGACGATTTGAATAAAAAGTGCCATCACGCTGGCTAAAAAATGATCCTAGGTAGTAACGACCTCCAGGTCACCAGATCTGAACCCCGTCGACTTTTCGTCGTAATGATTGTAAATTTCGTCGCTTCGCATAAAAAATTCTTAATGAAACCCATAAAACATCGAAAATTTATTTCTAAATTATTAATGGAAGTCGAAACTCACTTAATATTTACATTAGATCTTATCGTTTTAACGACTCTTCACCTCTAATTACGGATTTATGTCTGCTTTTCGAAAGACTCGGTTGGCAAATTGCCACAAGTTGACGACAAGCCACCTGTTCGGTGACACATGTGTTCGCTATCGCCCGATCTGAATCCTATCGATTTTTCGTGGTAGTGTTTCCGGCACGAGTTATGCAGACGTTTCATTTAAATCTGTCGGCGTTTAATGTTCGCGTTCGATTCTACAATGCTTGTTTTGACAGGAACACGACGAGGAAGCGTCTATTTCGATCCATCATTAATTATATCGATAAAGGTGAGAGACTTTGGATTTACATGACGTTACCTCTTCGGACCTAATGGATATTGTTCACACTTTGAGAGATACGCGAATATTGTGTAACTCTGACGTGTGATGATGAATCGAGGAGATTTCGAATTGCAGCTGTCACACCAAGCGAAAATTCGATCGTAATCGCGCCGCAGGAGGTACCTCTCTTGAGATTCGCAAATTCCGCGTTGTCTTTACTTCCCAAAAATTGTCCTTACGTCTCAATCGTCTCTCTATGATTGAGTGCGGCTGTCAATCGGTTTTTAAACGGCGTGGCAACATCGAGAACAAGTGTTACGAGTCGGCATTAAACCAGGAATGCATTTTATGTACTTGGGTAGATAATGGCCGTGCTGAACTCGATATACGCGTCCGTAATAACGAACGAACAACACCTCCAGGAGGCGCCGTGAGAACATTCGAAATATGCGGGGGTGCCTCGAGGCGCACTTTTTGGATAGATGATAGAGTTTTGTTAACGGAATTGGTCGGTCTAGGACGCGGGGAGTTCACACGAGGTGCAAACAGCATGAAATTGCACAGTTCAATCGGTCGAAGAGAAATATAACAATGTCGGCGAGCGAGCGTCGACTTGTTCCGGACTTTTTAACATCAACACGTTTGCTTAAAGACTTCATTACGGCGCTATTGAGGTGGTAATTAAACGGGAAATTGCACGGGAGAGCTGGAGTGGGAAAGGGGAGGGATAAATAGCAGCTAAGTAGATACCAAAGCAAAAAAAGACAACGGGTCCTGTTTCAATATTTCTTTCTAACGGGTGAGCTAAAAGAGCCGGAAAAAAATTAAAAGAAGTTTTCAGGAACAATATCCAACTTGAAAATTTATTTATCCGGGATAGATGGACCAGCAGGATAGATAGACTTTTGAACTTAGAGCCCTTCTAGGGCTCCATCTCTCATAGCAAAATGTTAATCTTAATGTTTTAAGTTATTGTAAGAGGCCGTTTGAAAAACGCGTAGCTCAATACAAAATTACGAGTATTTTTCACAAAAATTTAATTAAACAAATTTAGTATCTACCATATACAAATGTCTTAGTTCAACAGTGACAGGTTTAAGCTTATTATTTATAGAAAAACGTACTAATATCATGTAAAGTTCGTTTTTTTACTTTATGCATGTGGAATAATAATTCGAAAAACGTACCAAATCTTTTTTTCAACATTTGTAAGCAGCCTTGTTGCTCTCTCGCTACGTATTTGCGTAAGGTCGGTCACGCTATTAATCTCACTTTAACAAATGCGATTAAAGTAATGCAGAGCAATAAAAGCCACATAAAAATCCTAATGCCAGAGAGAAACTTTAATTTTTGACTTTAGTACCAAAATGTCAAAAACTGTCAAATGTCAAAAACAGACGGAGGTCATGTCGTGTTCTTAATTCGCACTACCCCCACCAGCAATTCAAAAAAAAACTGTAGGTACAACACTAATTATAAGCTAAAAACGGTCTTCTATTCAAACTTGATCAGACGTAATTTAGTAATTTATCTCTCTTCCCGCATCGGGGAAAGATAGAACACTCTATTGAAGATAGTTTTTTGTGTATTTTTAGTAGAAGCTTACAATTTACTTAAGCAAAAAAAGTGCGCCAAATACCGAGAAACGAACTGTGGAAAAATTACAAAAGACAGCAAATGCAATGTTAATAAATAAAGAGAAACGAAGCTACTACCACATTTATTACACAATTTTTTTTTTAATTGTCTTAAAGTTCAGGCTATAAGAAAAAACATTCGTGGTTTGAATTGAAATAAAAATCGTAATTTTACAGTCGGTTTTTCAACCGACTTAACCCTAAGATACGTTATAATCGAGCGTAAAATAAACAAAATAGTTCGTAATGTTGCCAAAATTGTGCATAAAGTGTGCATGTTGTGCAGGAATAGTTGTATCGTTTTTCAAATTTTTACATAATTTAAAAAATGCAGATTTCAGAAGAGAAAAATACACTTCTCAGCACTGAAGTTATTTTTTACACAAATATTTTTTACAACATTTTAACTAAAAATGCTACACCTGAAAAACTGCAAAAAACATGGAAGAAGATAAGAGTGTCCAAAAGGAAATTGGCAAAAATAGTTTACCATAAGATTGTTCAAAAGTCAAACATTTTAAAATATGCAAATAGAAGAAATACTTGGAAGTTGTTGGAATTTAAAAAACGATTCGACCTGGCAAACAATTTGATTTCAACTTTGGTAATTTTGGTAACATTGTTGTAACTGGTGTTTTTTTTTTAATTTGGCGTCAAAGCTATCCATGAAAAATCGATTGTGAACGAACCATCCTATTGAAAGTTATTAATCTGACATTTAACAGCTCGCTGAGCGTATTGAAAATTGTGGTCCGTTCACAACATATCGCCAACTATGACGCCAAATTTAAATAAACTTTATAATTACAACTAAAAAGCTACATCTAAAAAAAATTGCTCTCTGAATAAGAATAAAAACACCGCTGTCAATTTTTTGATCTTTATAAATATTGTAGGTAACAAATATAAAAACAGTATTATATTTTTCTGTAACGCTATAAAAAATCGGATACTTTTAGCCCATTTGTTATTGCGTCTGTGGCAATTTATTGTTCACAATCCAAAAATGTTCAGTTTTTTCCCCAGTTTTAGACCAAAAGGGATGTTCTTCATGTTTTTAAGGTGCTGAATGTGAATTTAAAATTCGTTTTAATGTTTTTTAGAAATTTTATAAAATCGCACATATGAAGTTTTGAAAATTGTCTTTTTTGGCTCCTTTCCTATTCAGAAAAAAGGTCAAAAATAGGTGATGTCTATAGATTTTTTTCGTTCAGAAACCAAAATTGTTATTTTTTCCTATAATACTTATTTCAAAGTTCTATATTACCAAAAATTTGGTCGTTTACTTGACAGTAATTTGGTAAAATCGTGGCATTAACAATGAATTAATGTGCAGTTTTTTATTAAAATTTGTATGGTTTCTCGAATGTGTTTTTCCTGCTTTTATGTACCAATTTTCCGGTATCTAACCGTTCGCGATGTACCAATTGCAACAAAAACTGTCTCATTAACCGTCTTCTATTGGCGCCTACACGATCTTCCGTTACGTTCAGTTGAACTTTGCGCGCAAAAAACCCTAAGATTCAGATCGCCAACCCACAAAGCCAGATGGGGGCCTAATCTCCATAATACCATAAACACGTCCGTGAGAGTGCACCGTTCTCTCACAAATGGGTCGTCCATCGTCGGTCTAGCACGAAGCGGTAGAATGACAACACGTCGTCCATCGATCAGTCCCAAAGAAGATTCAACTCTTGATTAATACAAGATTTAATTCCGGATCGTGTGTGGTCCAAGAATATCCGATATCTGGCTCAGGTTCGACCGTTACGCAACAAGTAGTAAATTATTTTACGCGTTATTTCAAATCCTGGACATTTTAATAACTGGTCACGATGAATATTAATACAAGATTCAATCGCGAAAAACTCCGGCCGTAAATTCAGATTCGGGCATGGAGGTTTGGGTTTCTATTGTGCCAGACGTAAATTTCGGTTTTTTATTGGCAGCCAATTGTCGGATTTCGAAATACCGATCGAGAAATGATGAGGATTTTTCATAAAAGTTATTACTCGCACATGAAAGTCCCATCTAGAATTTATGTCTCGAATAATTTTCTGATTTTATTTGGGCTCGGCGGCGATCACACTAATAAAACACGAAATTAAATTTATTAGAAAAATAAAACCAATTTTTCGAGTTTTGAAATTTCACAGTATACTCGGCAATAAATCAGTTTTATCAGTTTTTTATTGCATTATAACTTTTTTAAATGTAGATAGATAATCATTTTATCGAGCGGTGTGTTGGTTTATCATAATTCTTCTTACGAAACATTTTATTTTTAACAATCTTCACACATTAGTGAATCTTCGTGTCGCTAATTGAAGAAAGTAACCGTTCTATTTCCAGGTGCGGATCGCACGCGATCCTTCCGGAGCGTGACATTGTTCTTCACAGAAGAAGAAGAAATTGGAAAAAATTTACATACAAAAACCGCACCTATCTAAAAATTCGTAATTGGAAAATCGTGTTGACAAAGAGCGAGTTCATTGATTTGTTTATGCGCTTGTCATTGGGAGATTCTTCTCTTGTAATAAATAATGCCGATAGTATTTACGAAAATCATCGAAGCGTTTCTAAGCTGTAATTAAATTGAGATTCGAGTCTTTTATGGTATTGGCGGCTCAATGTGCCGTGTTAAGGCAAATATACAAGGAAACGTGAAACTTGTGATTTAAATACAAATTATTGGCTATGATCTACGCTTATTGAGAAGCATCGAGGTATGTGCACTAACTGTGAATTTTGCGAGAGGCGGATGGGAGACTCTTTGTCGAGCACTGCGGGGTTGCGCTGAGACAAAGAGATGCTTTTTATTACAGTAATTTGAGATACCGAGCCGAAAACCGCTATTAAAGAAACGCTTTATTATGGATATTGTCCAAGAAGAGTCGGAAGACAAGTAAAAAAACACAAAAATTCGGAAAATGTTACATGACCCAGAAAAATACTCCAAACACAAAAATCAAAATTATGATTATTTTACTAAAATTTTCGATGATCAAAACTAACAGTCCAAAAGTCATTTCTGTGAACTGTCTATCTCAATAATAGTATATTATATCACAAGGTAGGGAAAAGATTATATAATAAAATAAAAATCTTCTCTACTGTGTTTTATATAATATTTTTTTCACTACTAGCACTTTTATTACCCAGAAATACAACGGTGAAAAATATAACCTTACTTAGTGGACTTGTTGCCTCAGACGTAACATGTTGTAATTCACAACCATTATTTTTGTTAATTCACTATTGTACCTAAAGTAATTAATTACTTGCCTGAGTTATTAACTTAATTTTGTATCATAAATAAGGCTATGCCATTTTTGTACTTATTAAAAGATTTTTTTTATTTGTTAAAATAACAAGGAAACTGCAAAAAAAGAAAAAAGTGTTAAAATTTGCCTCACTACCGACAGTATTTTAACAAAAAGTAAACCCATTTGTAGTTTTGACAGTTTTGACATAGACAGAAGCATTATTAGAGTTGTGGTTATTCTGATGTTTTTAATGAGAAAATTTAAGTCGTTTTTATTCGATTTCGCAGGAATTTCATCTCGGAATACTTCCGTTAGTACTTGTGATAGTGATAGTTTTCAATAATAATATTTCAGAAATATTTGTATCCAACATCGGCATTTATCCACCTCTAATACATTAAAACCCTTGGTTCATAATGAAAATGATTATTGACTACTGGGAGAGAAAAATAACTTCACAACCTCTTGGCAAACTAAATAATGGTATGTTTTACAGTTACTAGTGGAAAAGGATATTTATTTGAAATTCTACAGAAACAAAGAATATTCTTTGTTTATTGCAAAATTTTGATAAAATATGCTGTTTTCTAAAACTAACAAAGTAGGCCATAAAACCATGTAATGAAGATTAAATGTATAACAATCAAGTGTAGATATTTTCCAATTTTCCAATTTTTAAACAATTAGACTTAATTGATTATTAAAAAAACAATAAAAAAGAAGTAAGAGAAAAAAACTTTTCTAATTATACTTACATACAATAATAAAATTAATTGATAAAAAAATTCTTAACAATGATTAAATGCTCCTTAAAACATCCATTTGATCACTTAATTTAAGGCCAATGACATCGCTACCAACCTTGTAAAGAAAGTCTCTAGCACGAAATAAATTACCTTAAAATTAAATGAAATAAGCATTTAATTTTCCGTAATACCTTGTAAAAGTTAAATTAGGAGTACCTACAGTAAAACCTCTAAAATCCAAAATAATTATAGCAAAAGGTTTCTTCATCTCAAATGAATTTTGAATGTCTATTATAATATTCTAGAATTTAAATTCTCCATTTCGCTACAATATTTGCCATTTTCGAATAATTATTTTCTACAATTCATTATAAAAGAATTCACTTTTACTCTGCTTTGATTCAATCTTGTCACTTTTAAAATTATTATCAACTTTCTCAATCAGTCATAGACAAAAATACTCCCAGTTACTTTCAGCACTAAAATGAGAAGAAAAAGTGCACTTTCCAACTGCTGAAATTAAGTTTCGGGAGTTTCAGTACGTAAACAAATCTTCTATTACACTAACCCTTAAATTGTTTAATTTGAATTCTTTCATTGCACACCTGTTCATTGCCCCCAAAAATCCTTCAATTTCTCTCAGCCTCGAGTGGGTGTCAAAAGGATGTCAATAAAAAATTCCGGTGACATAATAGTCTCGCCAAAACCCGGATTGACTATTCAAATTTGCCAATTGCCACTTCTGTCAGTGCCATCGTCGAATTAGTCTAGACGCGATATTTCACCTGGAGGAACCAACCAAGCAACGATCTGATAAGTAACACGGTAGCCCCAAAACCGATGAAGTGATAACGAATCACAACGTTAACGTCTCGTTAATCAGCGATTTTATTGGCCTCGGATGGCCATTAAGCGGCGATACTCGGAGACATCACACCGATTCTAATTAACTCGTGAGAGAAAATATCAAAACTCACCTAAGACTCGTTGAATTACGACGGTTTCAAACACAAATCGCGAGATATTCGAAGAGGAGTTTCACGTGGTTGGAGGTCGGAATGAGACAGCCGCACTATACTGTGACTACGTGAATACTGAAGGAAACTGAGGAATCTAGAGAATGAGCCGGTTGACAGAACGAGTGTGGGCAGGAGAGCTTTCGGTATTCGCTAGGTGTTAGGAGGAGGAAGCTCGAGTGGACACTTGCTCGAGCTTGAGGAGGGGGAAAAGTTTACAAAAAGTTGGGGTTTGACAGGGCTTGAGAGCGCGAGAAGGGTGGATCCGAACACAAGCATTTTTATTTTTCCCTCAACTAAAAAAATTAATAAAAACATACAATAACAACAAAAACACTTTTTTGTTGATTATTTTCCTTCAAGATCTTTGGTGCCATAAGCGTCGACTACATGGGTGCATCGGGGCGGATGCACCCATTGAAATTTTGTATTTTGTACAAATTGACTTTTTCTTCCAGAAAAACTGCTTTTGGGAACTAAGTCCCTAAAATAACCAATATACCTACATACTGTTTTATTGAGTCCGTAAAAAGACTCATTTTAGGGACTCAAATGAGTCCCTAAAACAACTACATATTTCTGGATACAAAAAAATCTTACATTTTTCGATGATTTTTGAAATATTGTACCTTAATGAAAAATGGTCGTATTTAGATTTTAAAAAATCGATTTTGAAGCTTCAAGTTTCTAGTCTCTTTTGGCAAAAAAAATTCATTTCTGAGCTACAGTTATTACGTAATTCTAAGAAAAATTGTATTTTTTTTCTTTTTTTTTGGTCCACAACATTGGAGAAATTTTTATTAGTTAGTATATCAATGCATAGGCCAATAGCTTGTTCATTCAGCTTCAATTTGCCTTAGCAAATAGATCTTTTTGTCTTTGATCATCGATACCTCCGCAACCAATGACCGCACAGAAAATGTAAAAATAGTTTTAAAAACTAGAATAAACATTCTACAAGATGTTTTTGTGATTTTTTTTTAAATTAATTTGCAACAATGATTTAAAGAATAGAAAAAAGTAACATTTTTTGTTGTTGTAGCAAATTTACCGCGTAATCACAAATATTAAAGGAGAGACTAATGTCTCTCTAGGCTCTCTAGACTAATAGGTTTTTTTTCTCGGACCAATTAATCAAAATTTTACAAAAAAAAATAAAAGAATTAATTGTTTCTACACATTGTGTAATCTTCATCAAAATGGAAGACATTTTTTTTATTTTATTTTTACAATTTTGCATGTTAAATTAAAAAAAAATATTCGAAAAAATTAAACAATTGAAACAATTGTTTTATATTTTTCAAAATTTGTAAAAAATCAAGAACCAATAATACTAACTAATTTTTGCGACCATTTATTTAGCTTTTGCTCCTCAAATTAATTGCATTAATTAAAACTTGATACTCCCAAGTACTGCAAATTTTCAGAAAAAGTCAATTTTTTTAAATAGCTTCCGATTTTTTTTTGTTCAAATTAATAGTAGGTAGTAATAATAATTCAACAACTTGAAGCATTTTGCAACTTTGAACATGTACTATTTCCTTAAGACTTTTTATTGCTCATGTTTATTGATTTTTTCTTTTGTACTATACAAAAAAGTATATTGTTTTTAAATTTTCTAAATACATATTAAATACATTAAATTCAGTAAAAATAGGGAAGAAGAAATCGTTTTTTCGCGTAATTATTCTCAAGTCCTGCAAGTTATACTCGTACCTACCAATTTTTCGTTTATGCACCCATTGAAAATATGAAAAGTCGACGCCCATGTCTGGGGGCCCTCATTGCCCCAATGAGCACCTCGCACGCTTCATTCCTCCGCAGCTGTCTTAAATCGCATTATTACTTTTAATTAGTCGCAACAGACGACACTATCATCCGTGTATTTGTAAAAAAGCTCAATCGTTATTTGCCCTCCTCAACCATGTTACTAACAAGTAATTTCCTCATGTATAATTAGTGTTCGGAAAATGAGTGCTTACCTGCTTATTAGCCAGCATGAAAAATAATAACAGCGCCGTCCGAACAAAGCTAAATGTTTTCTAATGTTGTGTTTGCTGATTCAATTAAAGAACCGATATCGGGAGATGCACGAGAGCTTATAATTCTGATACGGCGACTCCATAAACAACGGCTTCGACGCGAATTTCCTGGTTCTTGTCGGTAGAGCTATTCCACGATCGTCTTCCTTTGGAGGAACCGTCGTGAGACAATGTTAAACGGGTTTTCGGCCCAGTTTCATTTTAATTCAATATTTTTCTAATGAGAATTTATTGGAATGGCGGCGCCTTCAGCAGTATTATTTGTTTCAAATCTCTCGAAAAGATTTAGTCCCCGATTCGTTGAAACTAAATCCGGCAAATCCTTTTCTAATTAAAATCTGCCCATCTCCAATAAATTTCGTCGGTTCGTGTTACTCAATATTCAGAAAAAAATTAATTTATTACACGTCGTGATGTTACCGGCGCCAAAACTTTACACATCCATAATTATATATTTGGCGTTTCTTCGACGACATTAATCACCAGCTTTTCCGTTCAAGTCGAAAAATTACGACGATTAATTGAGGCGTGCCTCTCGCGTGCAGCGAATTAAAAAAAAGGCGATTTTTTTTATTAAATGAGTTGTCATGGAAGAAAGTGCGATAACATCGGTGTGTATAAATTAAATCAATGACAGGTGTGTGCGCCTCGCGAAATCAATAATAAATCACACGCGAACACAATTCACGAATAATTAAATGCATAGCGCCGTTCTAAAGATATCGAGGTATTGTTTGCAAATAAGCGTTTGAATGTTGGACGTCACTTGCTCCGATTCGATCTGACAGGGGGTTTTCCGCGATAATACAAAGAAAAATATTGTTTCTGGGGCCATCAAATTCCCACTAAAATAAAGCATTCTTAATTTTTTCTTCAAGCAATTAAATAATTTTAGACACCTTGTGTAAAAAAATTGAAGACGTCAAGTCTCTAGCGTTGATTCCTCTGAAATTCGGTCATAAATTTTAAAAACACAAAATTGTGGTAACTTTTTGGAAAACTGAAACAGTTTCAGAGAATATTCTGAATTTTGACGTTTCTAAACTCATCACACCAAAAATAAATGATGAGTTCTTTAAAAAAATTTACTGAAAATTGAAAATGAAAAAAAAAATTTAATCAGAAATTATAAAATTGAAAAGGTGTACATATTTGATTAAACCTTTATTCAAATTTCTATTTTGGAACTACAAACTTGTTTCAAAGCACCCAAAAGCGGTCATAATTTGATTTTTATAGGTCCCTGAACTTTTTTTTTTACCCATTAAAACTTACGGAATCAGGTGATATTATCCATAACAACATTTCGCTGGAAATTCTTATTTGAGAGAAGCAAAATGTAATCCAAAATAAATACAACAAAACGTTGTATGTATCACGGGCATAGTTATCGATTATGGCCCTCAGAAAGCAATTAAAAGCCCTTCTAACGTCAGGCCTAATCAAATGCAAATGCGGCATAAAATGGCCTTTTGCCCAGGCTAATATCCAATAAGTTACATATACTTAACACAAATGTTTAGTGATTTAGAAAGCAAAATATAATAAAACGTTGTTTGTGCTAGAAACATAATTGTCGATAATGGCCCATTGAAAAATAAAGGGCCTCACTTCGGCCAGGCCTTAAACATTTTCCCCGATCAAACTGTTGATTATGTCCTTAATAATTATATAAATACCTATTATTTTAAATTTATTACAAAATAAAAAAAGAAATCATTATACATTAAATTTATAATAATTTATTCAGGTGAGCCACCCTAAAAATATTTATTTCCAACAAAGATTTTAGCAAGTTTAGCTCATTTTTATCATAGTTCAATTAATTTATTTCATAATATGTACTAGGCAAATAGTCGCCTCTTATCTTGTTATAAATCTCAAACAGAAAAACACAATTTCTTGCTGTTTTCCTTATTAGTGATCTTATGTCAGTCAAAAGTAAAATAAAAATAAAACAATTAAACAAGCAACAGAAAAACAATAAAAACCTTGTAGAATACCGGGTAAAATAAAACAAAAATGAAAATTTTTTATGAAAAAAGAGTAGTATTACCAGTAAAAACGAGCATTACCCTATCAAAAAAATATTTACAAAAATTTTGAGATCAAAATATCAAAACTAACGATATTAGAATGTTAAAAAACATGTATAGGAAAACGAACCATAGACTTATGACATTTTCGGTCTAGTTTTGTTAAAAGTTAAAAGTCGTATATCCGTTCCCAAAATTTTCCCAAGTTGTATTGGTCCAAAGTCGATATTTTGGTGTGTTGATTAGAAAGTCATTAGTTACTGTTACAAAATTTCCAAAAAAAAGTCTTCTTTATGATAAAACCGTCGTTTCGCTCCGGTGTTCCGTCCCGATTCTTGGCAAAATTAGCATTCAAGAACATTTTTTTATATTATAGAAAGCAAAATAAAATGAAATGTTGTTTGTACTAAAAACATAATTATCGATAATGGCCCATTGAAAAATATAAGCTCTGCCTTCGGCCAGGCTTTAAACATTTCCCCCGATCATAATCTGTTGATTATGTCCTTAATAATTATATAATATACATACCTATTATTTTAAATTTATTACAAAATAAAAAAAAAAGAAATCATACATTAAATGTACAATAATTCATCAGGTGAGCCACCCTAAAATCATTTATTTCCAACAAAGATTTTAGCAAGTTTACCTCATTTTTATCATAGTTCAATTAATTTAATTTCATACTATGTACTAGGCAATTAGTCGCCTCTTATCTCGTTATAAACAGAAAAACACAATTTCTTGCTGTTTTCCTTATTAGTGATCTTATGTTAGTCAAAAGTAAAAAACCTTGTAGAATACCGGGTAAAGTAAAACAAAAATTTTTATCAAAAAAGAGTAGGACTATTACCAGTAAAAACAAGTATTAACCAATCAAAAAAATATTTACAAAAATTTAAACATCAAAATATCAAAACTGGCGATATTAAAATGATAAAAAACATGTATAGGAAAAAAATGACATTTTCGGTCTAGTTTTGTTAAATCTGTTCCCAAAATTTTCCGAAGTTGTATTGGTCCCAAGTCGGTAATTTG